CTTTTGTCTTTTGTCGTAAACTCCCTCTCCTGGTTGCAGGGTTCCCAACATAGTTCCTTGAGGCCTGAACTCCTGTTGACTATGTTTTCTGTTAGGTGGAGCAGGAAGGTTAGAGGGAGTTAGAATGGGAGAAATGTTCTCTCCAGTTAGCATGACTCTTGCAAATCTTTCTCCTTTGGAGTTTTGACTTTTTTTTATATAGAAGGCTATGTTTCATAACAGTTGCTCTTCCACTGCCAGAGCAGTATTTCTCAGGTCGCCACCTTGTGAATGTATGTGGATTCCTGGAACTGAAATCCAGTCTTGTCAACAATGGAGGCTTGGAGAAATCCATTAAAACTGTTCTCATACTGACACTCTCATCAACACTCAACCCCCATAATTCAACACCATTAACATTTGAGTTTTCCTACCAGGCTCTAATAGCATCTGCTCCAAGTGAGCAGCTTTCAGCTGTCTTTCTAGACATGCCTGTCTCATTAGATCTCAGCACCGTGACCTCAGTTCTCAGGAAGGATAAGGATTTGGGCAATGATTTTTACAAGCTGTACAGAAATCATAGCTGAGAAAGAAAGTCCTGAGAGACTTTGTTTTTGTGGTACTGGTGATTAAACCCATGCCTGTGTCTGCTAGGTGAGCACTTGGCCATTGAGCTACATTCCAGCCCTTTTAATTTTTCTTTTGGGACAGGGGCCTACTAAGGTGGCCAGCCTGCCCTTGAGCCGGTGATTCTCCTCTTTCAGCCTCCTACCTGGCTCCCAACAAGTTTTTGAATGCTAGAGAAGTAGAAGTACACTAAATGCCAACAAAAATCACAAAAATCCTTTAACTGTTCAGTTCAGTTTAAGTGCTGAAGGAAACAATTTCAAGATTACTTCAATGCTAATAGAAAGGGTATCAGATAAACATCTCTGTAAAAATATAGAATATGAGGCCAGCAAATACCTCCCACACTTCAATTTTGAATAAAAACTGTTTGCATTTTTATGTGTCTACCTACATTTGTATTGTCTCCACCAAAGCAGTATAATTTTCATCAACACAGTTCAAATGAGCTTCTGAAACATTTTTATATTGTTTGAGTTCTCATCTGGAAGAGCTGAAATAATCTTGCAAGCAAGATTCTTAAAGAGAAAAACATCACATAAGCAAAAGAAAATTCCTTCCTCATCCTGGTTATTTGGACCTGTGTTATAAAAAGGAGAAACAAAGTTAAATGGAGCCACTACACTACTACTTTAATGTTTTATTTGGTGCTTGAAAATTTGTTATGAATTTTAGAATCAGAAAATACTTTTGGTATGGTCATTTGAGTTGAAAAGTTGAAGAAGATAACAGTTTAGCAGGTCATTACCACTCTTGCTGCCATTGTTTTACTTTCATATGGAAACATTTTAGCCAGGAAATTTGTTACTTTATCCCTTTATATGTTACAAATTGAGGAAATCATGTATCTCTTAGGCTTACATATTAGAGTACACTAGCTTATATCTGACTTTATCTTTGGTACTGAAGGGACAATTGGACACTGAAGAATTTCAAATGGATGTTTCCTTCATTTAATAGATACCCAATGTTTTGTAAATTAATCAAAATTTACATTTATATATTTAGTATTAAAATATATACAAAAATAATAGGCTAGAGCTTAAGTATTTTTTTTCCTTTATTTTTGGTGGAACCCGGGATTGAACTCAGGCCCTTGCGCTTGCCAGGGAAGCATTTATTCTACTGACCCATCTCCCCAGGCCCCTAGTCTTAAGTATTCTTAGAAAATACAAATTATAATAGATACCATAAGAATTGAAAGTATTGATTTTGATAATCTCACTTGGGAGGCTGAAGTATAAATCTCAGTAAGTTAGGGAAGAACTGCTGAAATGAAAGCAGATTTTTAGACTAACAATGCAGTAAACTTAGTAGACAATGTAGATACGCATCTGTAAGGTAAAGCTGCATCTGCAAGAACATTTTAACTGAGCCAGAGCTGATCATATGAGACTTTGGATGGTACAGTGTTCACAATTGACAGATTTTTTAGAAGCAGAAGTGTTTATAGGTTGACAGACTTTGTTAGTGTACTCACTGAACAGGCTGCTACTGACGGTGTATCTTCCGAAGGCTCATCACCGGACTGAGGGTCTTGCTGGCTGCTGACTAGAAGTACAATACTGTCTTGAACTCGCTGTCTTCAGCAAGGTGGAGGCAGTCAATAGTATGCTAATTTTCAGAAGCATGGACACTGGAGCAAGGCTGTGTCTGATTTTCAGAGTATATGCACTGACTTGAAGATCTAACGAACAGTGAGACTTTGGCCAAAATACTTTTTTATCCCTCTACCTTCCTCTATTTTCCCTAGCCAAACTCACAGGTAAAACCACACAGGGTTTTTGTTTTTTTTTAAAACCTGGAATTGGAGTCAGGATCTTGTACTTGCCAGGCAGGCACAATGGTACTGAGCGATATCCCCATCCCCATAAAGGGTTTCTTATACCCTATTTGTAAAGGTATGATTTTTTCAGCCCATGTTACACTTGCATAATTTAAATGCTGATTACTGAGGTAGAAAAAGAGTAGCAATGGATTTTGTTTTTAGTTTGATTTTATTGGATTTTTCATTAATGAAGGAAAACTGAATACACAGAGGTAGTGCAGACTAAAGATGAAATCATAGTGTATAGGATGTGTCCATCTGCAGCCTCCTCTGCAGATCAGGTGAGCTGCTCATCACCTTCATCTACTTGTCTTGAGAGAAATATGACAACCTTGCCATATTTATTCTATTGAATGATTGTCTCGTGTTCTTCACCCATGCTGTCCTGCTCACTCATCACTGAATTTAAATAGCCCATATTGCTAAGCATCAGTCTATCTACCTTCAACTATTTTAAATTTATCCTCTACACACTGATGCCAGAACAAATTCCCCTTCTTAACATCAACTTTGGGCTAATGCCCCAGGCACCTTACCATGGTAAATGGGGCCTTTTATTTAGCCTTTGTCTTTGTCTCAAACTTTAACATGTCATTCTTCAGCTCATCAGCTTTGGATTTTAAGTTTCCCAAATATGTCATATTCTGCACTTGTACTAGTGCATGTGCAGCTTCTTGTACTTGGGAAGACTATCTTATCTTCAGAAGAGTTCTTATTAGTCTTTCAAACTGGAAAGCTTTCTTTGATGACTCCAGGCCACTCTTTCTTTCTTTAGGTCTCTTTCTTTATCCTGTATAAAACTTTACAAGATTCTTGTACCAACGCATACTGTCACAGTATTATTACCTGTTAAAAACAACCACACTTACATACTGGGGCATAATAATTATTTACTCATTTGCTAGTTTTTACCAGTCACCCAACTCCATTCCCTTCCTCCCAATTCATGGTTTTTTTTTTTTCTTTTTTTGGGGTGGTGGTGGTGGTTGGTATTATGAACTGAACCCAGGGCCTTCACATTGAGTTAAATACCACCCCTTTTTATTTTTTGAGACAGGGTCTAAATTGCTAAAGTGCCCAGATTGTGCTTGAATTTGCAATCTTCCTGCCTTAGCAATCCAGACTCCTGGGATCTGCAATGATGCCAGCTCAACTCATTGCTTTTTGGATGAAGGCCTATGCTTTTTTCAAAACTCAAGGTGTGCAGGATAGTACCTGTCCCAAATTTGGGATCAAGAGAACATTTACTGGACTGGGACTGTAGCTCAGGGGTAGAGAACTTGCCCTAGCATGAGCAAGTCCCTCAGTTTCATCCCCAGCACTATAAGGAAAAAAAGTTCACAAAATAGATGTCTCAGTCAATTTGGTCAGCTATAACAGAATACTCAAGGCCCAGTAACTCATGAAAGTTATTTCCCTGAGTTCTGGAGACTGGGGAAAGTTCAAGAATAAAATGCATCTGCTCTCTGTCCTTACCAGATAGAAGACAGCACAGGCTACCTTTGGTCTCTTTTATAAGGCCCTCTTACTCATGAGGGCCCTATTGTTATGAATTAACTACCTTTCCTCAAAGCCCTCTTAATAATTTGCAATTCTTTAATACCTTAATCACCTTGGAGGTTAAGATACCTCCCTTGCTGGGTTTTAAACCACCGAGCTACATCCCCAGATCTTTCAACATTGAGACAGATTTTCACTACTTTGCTCATGTTAACCTTGAATTTGCAATTCTCCTGCCTCAGTCTCCTGAGAAGCTAGGATTACAGGTGTGTGCTACTGTGCCTGGCTGTAGGTTAGGATCTTAACATGAATGTTGATAGAACATATTCAAACTACAGCAATGTCCTCATTAAGATTCGGTCAAAGGTGTCAGATTACTAAAGTTTGGTAGATTGTTATACATTTTTTTTTAAAAACCATGTTTGGTAGCTTTAGTTGCCAAAGTGAAACAATTATCTATTTTTGTATTTAATATATCTAGATGGCAGCTCACAGGATAATGGTAAGTACACTTTTATAATAAATAATTTCAAAGCAATGAAAACATTCTAAGGTCAGGAATTGGGTAGATAATTTCCAATTCACAGTTGCTAATAGTAAAGAAATAGACCACACTTAAATTTTCTTCTATTTTAATGAAATCCATGCACAATGTTTGACATTAGGCCAGAAAAAGGATAAACAAGAGAGAATGAGAGGTAGTTTACAGTTTATTTTTACATTAGTTTGGTCCTTTTCTCTAAAAATGTATAATTTATTGGATCCATCTTTCCATTAGTAAAACATTATAAAAATATTTCCAGTGTAGCTCGGTGTTTTTCTAAATGAGAAATCCAGAGCACAACTCCTTACCCATTCAGATATTTTTGACAATCACATGTCTAGTATATACTCTTATGAATGAAAAACAAATACATTTTACAAATGCCCAAAGTTAATGTTTCTACTTATGAATTTATTTCAGGTTATTTTAAAAAAGTGCCCAACTGACATGAACAACTTCCTAATACATAAGAGTTTATGCATGAGATTTAATATTTGATAACAACTAAATGCTTATGAGGACTTTTTTTTTTTGCCTATCCATTATGTTATATGTGTATCCAAATGTGTATTCGATGATTAACTTTGGTTTCAGGCTTTTACACATGCAAATCTATTTTCTAGGGGTCATCTTCCATATGAATTTTATAATGATTAGTAAGGGATGACCTGTGGTTGAAAAGTTTTCCACATGTGTTACACTCATAGGGCTTTTCTCCTGTATGGATTCTCTGATGTGCAATACGTGAGGAACTCTGTCTAAAAGTTTTCCCACATGTATTACATTTAAAGGGTTTCTCTCCTGTATGAATTCTTCGATGTTGAATAAGAGCTGAACTTTGGCCAAATGACATCCCACATTCCTCACATCGATAAGGTTTCTCTCCAGTATGAATTCTTTGATGATTACTAAGGGATGAGTTACATCTGAATGTTTTTCCACACTCATTACACTTATAGGGTCTTTCACCAGTATGCATTCTCTGATGTTGAATGAGAGCTGAACTTTGCCTGAAGGCTTTCCCACACACCTTACATTTACACGGTTTCTCACCAGTATGAATTCTTTCATGAATAATAAGAGTTGAATGGGAACTTAAGGCTTTGCCACATTCATTACAATTATAAAACTTCTCTCCAGTATGAATTATTCGATGTCTGTTGAGTCGTGAGATAGAAGTAAAGCCTTTTCCGCATTCATTACACCTATAGGGCTTTTCTCCAGTGTGAATTCTTTCATGTTGAATGAGTGATGCACTCTGACTGAAGGCTCTCCCACATTCACTGCATTTGAAAGGTTTCTCTCCAGTGTGAATTCTCTGGTGATAACGAAGAGATGAGCTAGACTTAAAATTGTTACCACATTCATTACATAAATAAGACTTTTTTCTAGAATAGATTCTTTGACCAGGAAGCGATGTACTGTAATTAGATGCCTTCCTACCTGGATTATATTTGTAAGAGCTTTCTCCAGCATGGATTTTCTGATGTATAAAAAGGCCTGACCTTCGGCTGAAGGCTTTACCACATTCCTTACACCGATAGGATTTCTCTACAGTGTGAGTTCTTAAATGTTTATAAAGGGATGTACTGAGAGTGAAGGCCTTCCCACATTCTTTACATATGTAGGGTTTCTCTCCAGTATGAATTATTTGATGTTGAATAAGAGCTGAACTTTGGCTAAATGCTTTTGAACATTCCTTACATTTAAATAATTTTTCTCCACTATGGTTTTTCTCATGTTTACGAAGGGAAGAAGTGTTAATGAAGGTTTTGTCACACATACTACATTGATAGCGTTTCTCTGCTGTCATTTTTGGTTGAGTAGGTAAATTTGAGTTCTGTTTAAAAATGTTTCCTTGCTTTTCACATTCTCTGGGAACAACTGATTTTTGGCTACAATTTTGGCTGGATTCAGTACTCTTATGGCTTCTTTCTGTAGTCAAGATTTTTTTGTGGGTAACTGAAACTATCTGAAAACTTTCCTTTTCATTTGACTTCTTCGCAAATTTATCTTGATACATACGAAGTTTTTCTGATTTCAAGTCCCAGGGTCCATTCATCTTGAGTTTTTTCATTATCAGTCCCTGAAATGAAGAGTCTTGTGTTTGAGTTGACTTGGTAGTTTTATGACTGTTCTTCCATCCTGGAGGTGGGGATTAAAGATGTTATTGTTATATCATAGAAACTGGCTACTGAGAGTATATATGCATAATGAATAATAATAATGCAATTGAAATAAGGTTTTAGTATCTGGCAAAAATAGCAAGACAAAATAATAGGCAGCACATAAAAATAATTGATGAGTGCAAAAGTACTAGAAATGAAAGAAATAAAGCAAATTTATTTAAAGAGGGTGAGAGGGAAGAGAGTAAAGAGGAACATGAATTAGGAAATGAAGTCAGGGATCAGAATCCAAAGCCCCAGTGGACTTCTAAATTATCATCTTGATATTATTCTTCTCTGTATAATCATTCCTAATCTGGACAGCCTTCACTATTCAGTTCAAAAGTTAATACTCTGCATCCTTACTTGACTCTGTACTTACATAGTCTATTATCTTTATTGTAGTACTTATCAGTGTTAAATGTCTCTATAATACATGCACACATATGTCTATTTACATATCTATCTACATGTATCTCATCTTCTTTTTCTACAGAAGTATTCTTTACAAGTAGATTAGTATGCCTTCCTTTGCTACTAATTCTCTTGATGACATCCCAATTACACACAAAAATATACTTATTCTATACTTGTTAATATTTCTTAATTATTTAATATTCATAACTTGAAGCCAGATACTCTCAATTACTTGCATATGTATTTCACATGTACTTGCGTACATGCATGCATATGTGTGCCCAGACAGACAGATACAGACACACGCACACACACCCTTACAGAGGCAGTTCACACAGGAAGTCATAACAGAATAAGCCTACAGAGGTGTCATAGGCAGGATGAGATTGAGAGCTGCAATCTGGGAAGACAGCCCATTCCTGCATCAAGAGAAAGGCTTGGCAGGATGCACTGATGAAAATCAACAGATAGATAAGACAGACATAAATATAAAAGAATAAAGCAGGATTAGATTGTTGTGCACACAAATAGGCACTTATTTCTGGGAGTAACCATTTAAAGGGAGTTTTTGTCTCTTGTGTTTGAGAACCTTATCAATGCACTGAATTTCTAACCTCAGTACATACTTCTTCTACCTAGAGACATTCTGCTTTTCAATTCTACTACTATTCACTTCTCAGTTCCCTTCTTAGGTGACTCTTCCTTCTTTACGGAACTTTATTCCTTAAGGTTTTATTTCTTTTATTTTTTGAGACAGGGTCTTGCTCTGTACTTCAGGCTGGCCTTGAACTTGTAGCAATCCTGTTGCTTGAGTCTCCCAAGTCTGGGATTGCAAGTGTATGCCACAATGTCTATCTCAGGTTTTGAAATTATTTTCACTCTATACAATCCCGCTTGACTAATTTTCTATGCACCCATATTTTTACTATTTGTTGTAAGAGAAAGAGTTTTTTGTTTTCTGCTTAACACTCTCCTAAATCTTTCTCCATCTAAGGCACACTAAATTAAGTAATCAAATTGCAATTCATTATTTGGCCCATATGTATTTGGAGAGCTTCTCCCTGTGTACAACAGTCACTGTTCCTAGGTTTCTATATGTTGCACTGGGAATAAGACAGTAAGATTTTCCAGTCTGGATTTTAGCTCATAAAGTAAGGTAGGGGCCAGGGAGATGGCTCAGTGACATAAGTGCTTCCCTGACAAGTGCCTTTAAGGGCCTGAGTTCAATCCCCTGTTCCGGAAAATAAATAAATAATACAAATAAAGTAAGGTAGACTCTGCCCCGGTGTAAAGAAAGGCTGCAGCTCTGACACCAACTCACCTTTACTAGGCCCTTGAGCATCAGGGTCAGGCACCTGATAAAATTTTGTTTTCATGTATGCCTGTCTCTACCACAGTTTCCCAACTATTATCCCTGTCTTGAGCTATGTCCTCTGCCAACTCAGTCTCACTGTAGTCAGGTAATCTAAAATCCACACCTTCGGGACAGGAATATAGTTCAGTGGCACAGTGCCTGCTTGGAAAGCACAAGGTCCTGAATTTGATTCTCAGTGCCAAAAAAATAAAATCCATATCCTATGTTGCAAACTTCCTGAAGATCCTCTGCTACATCTTCAATGATTCATATATGAAGTCCAGAGTCCTTGCTATGATGAACAAGGTACTGCACAATCTGACCTTTGTTCACCTCTACCCAAACCTCCCTTTTCTGTTTACTTCTTAGGTATTGTGAATTACTTGCAGTTTCTGGTGCATTCCTTTTTTTTTTTTTTTTTTTTTTTTTTTTCCCTTTACCGATGCTGGGGACACAATTTCCCATTCATTACTATGGGCCGGGTAATATTCTGGGGAACGCAGATAATGTGTTTGATAAGACAAGGTTCCAGTCTTTAAGGAGCTTGTTTTGCTGTGCATGTGTTGCTTATGCATGTGCTGAAGATGGAGGAAGGGTGAAATAATAAATAATAGGGAAATAAATAAAACCTGAAAGGCTGTCAAAGAGCTTCCTAGGTAAAGAGGCCAGCAAACCCAAAAGTATGGCTCACTTCTGAGAACAGCAGAGCCCGACTTGGCTGGAGTGCAGTGAACAAGAGGGAAAATGGCAGAGTAAGACAGGAGCACATGGTGGGGCAAACCACATAAGGTCTCTGAGGTCTTGCTCTGGACTTGAAAGTTTTATTCTATAGATGGGGCATTATGTGCTTACTTGAGGTAGCTGCTGTGAGGATAAGAGATTGCACAGGGAGAAGTGGAAATAGGGGCAGAAGAGGTGCTTTAAGGAGCTGCTGCAACTGTCTAGGTGAGAGACAGGGAACAGGGACAAAGAACTGCATCAGGATGCATGCCAAAGGAAATGCTAAGTAGGGAAAGAGGAAGTTAGAGACTGCACCTAGGTTTTGAGCTTAAAAATAATGAGTGCTGCTTACAGACCCTGAGGAGAAGGCCAGGAAAAGGGCAAACCTGTAGCGGTTTGTGCTTAAGAGATGTTTGTGAGGGCTAAGATGCCTTGACAGACATTGAAGGAAGGAAGATACTAAAATAGTTGTATAGACTGTTCTGCCAATCTGCAAGAGGTCAGAGCTAAAGATAGGTGGGAGTCATTATCAAACAGGCTTTATTTAAAGTTGAAGAACTGAATGAAATCCCCTCAGTTACTAAAACATTTGGAAGGTAAGAGGAAAATCAGGAAAGTATGATGTTCCAGAAGTCAAAGGAAGAAGTTACCTCAGGGGGCAGTGGCAAATAAGTTGAGGACTAAAAGTTTAACCCTGACTTTAGCAAGGTGGAGGTTGTCCAGGACCTAACAACAGTGCCTTTAGGGGAGCAGGAAGGAAAAAGTCCAACAGGAGAGCACAGAACAACTATGGGAGGTGAGAAAATAGAAATATTAAGCACAGAAAAACTTCTTAGAAGTTTATTTTAAGGGAGAACTGAGACACGGGAGCTTTACTTGCAATTCAAGCGATTACACCTACAAAAGTTTGTACCACTTCTGGTAAACTCACTGCAACTGTAAAAGTGCAACCAGAGGCTTGAATTTGTATTTTCCACTGAAGAGAAAATAAATCTTGGATTTTAGGCATCCTAAATGTTTCTTATGATCTGCTCAAGATGTGTACTGGTCTGCAAATATATCTCCTGAGCTGCAGTAAAACTCTTGCCCCTTCTAAGAATCAAGCATAGGCCTGAGCTGCCTCATGAACAAGGTTAAGACAGGTCAGAAGTTCAGAGCCAAGAATGATCTTGCCAATGACCACCACCCTAACTAGTCTCTATCACTAGGTCTTCTAGATTCTCTTCCATGTGCTTTTAACTGTGTTCTGAGAGTGTCTCTTCAATCTCATTATTTCCTTTTGGATGATTCTGTCCACTTCTGCACTGCCTACATGAATGAAACTCTGGACTCTTCAGGTGTTTTGTTTGTTTGAGATAGTCCTGGCTGGCCTTGAATTCACAACGATCCTCCTGCCTTAGCCTCCTGAGTTTTGCGATTACAGGCATGTGTCAATATGCCCAACCTACTTTTTAAAAGTATCTTGCAGAACTGTTTTCAATGGCTAACTGCAACTTCCATTTGAGTATCTTTCCTTTGAAGTCAGCCTGTCTGAAGCCAATACATTCCTCTTCAGTTTGACATGACTATAGCCATCTTGGTCATAACCACTGTTCAATACCTGGCATGTATTCTCAACCCTACAGGACAAGCCAAGTCTACAAGCTGGCTAGCTAAGGGATTCCTGTCTGGCACTGATGCCTGATGTACTTCAGTGGTGATGAACACAGTACTATTTGCGAGGAAGCCCAGGCACTCTGCAGTTGACCAGAGGCAGCTCTGAGCCTAACATGTAAGCACTTTCCTTGTGCCTGGAGGTGTGAGAATCGTCTTCTCTTGCTACTGCCCCGGACCAACTTGTGTCGGTAACTCCCTAATAACTTATACTTTATGTATTGCTGGGTTTGCCCGCTTTTCTCTTTGGTCTTTTGGCACCTTCTGCCTTTGGTAACTAGTTCACATTTTTTTGGGTTTTTTTCCCCCAAAACAATTTCTTTTCAAAGCTTTTTGATTTGGTGTATTTTCCAGTTTAGAATGACATCATAACCTTTTGAGTTACTCCCTTGTACATTCTTAGTTTCATCTTGTAATCTTTTCTCTTCTGCATTCCAAGTTCAGACAGTCATCCAAGTCTGTGAAATTCCACTAGTGACATATCTGTAGCACCATTATTAGGACATCCATGTTCAGGATCTTCTTATTCTGTATGTACTTTGCTGCTGACCCTCAACCTGTTCTTCTAACCATGGGCCTCACCTTTCTAGCACTATTTCCCACAAGATTTACCCATCCTGCTGCGTGGAACTCCTCTTGTTATTTTGAAAAGCAATGATTGCTTCTTACTTTACTCATTCACCAAATATTTATGAAACACGTAGTATGTGTTAGGCTCCACTGTAGGTACTGGTGATCCACAACACATACAGTTGATCTAATAATGAGAAGAATGGTTTATTTCTTCAAGGAGTTCACATTTTGGAACACAAATGAAATTAATAGTCAATCACAACACAATGTGACTGCTCCTACAACAAAAACACAGGTACAGTTAGTTGTGAATGTGAGCACAGAACAGCATCCCAACTATCCTTAGTGGAGGGAGCAGGTAGGGCAGGGATACCTGCCCTACAGCTTGCCTCCCTCTTCATATGTGCAGTGTAAATAAATAAAAATGGGAAAATATCCCCTAAATACTGAAAACATAATGAAATAAATGACCCTAGTTGTGTTTCAGATTGGTAGCATAGCACCATAGGGCAGGGATACAGGTGCGAGTTGGAGTTTTCTGACCTCTATGATGGGATTTTAAAAGATTGTCCACAGGCTGAAGGCAGCATCAGTCTTTTAATCCGAGTGAGCTTTCTAGATTTATGTTCTGAGTTCCTCCCTCATTTTACCCTATTGGCCAGTCCGCTTCAAAGTCACTCCTATAAAAATATTACTCATATTAGCAGTTTCATAAGGCTTCCGAGTTAAGGAATGAGGGGACTATATGCTGAAATTATATACACCGCCATGTAGACATGTAAGCATCCTCCATAATGTGGAAAACAGAAATGCTAGTTTAGAAATTCTGCTGTTGGCAACCAATTTTTAAGGATTTTACTTATGGAAAATATGCAGCTTATACAAAGTAGAATGAATTATACAATGAATCCCCAAGCCAACTTCAACAGCTACTAACGATGTTTCATCTATAACTTTACTATGGGTTAACTTGTGTCAATCTCTACCCCCCAGTATGCTAGTCTTGACTTCTGGTACCCCCAGTTGTGACCTTATTTGGAAATCTGAGTTTTGCAGATTTTATTAAGATAAGGTTGTTAAAGCAGAATTTAATCCAATGATGGGTGCATTTGAAAAATGGGGCAATATGGCTATAGGCAGGTACAGAATACAGTGTAGAGGCAGTGCATGAGGCAGGACTGATACAGCTGCAAGGCTGGCAGCACCACAGAGGGCTCATTGCCACCATGTGCCAGGAAAAACAAGGGTTGATACTACCTAGTGTTTGAAGGACATCGCCAATGCCTTGATCTAGGAACTCTACAAAGCAATACATTTCTACTGCTTTATACCACTTTATTCCACACTTACTGTTGCTGTGGTGGTGCTTTGCTATGGCAAACCCCAAAATGCTTTTCACCAAATTATGCTAATGCAGATCTCAGACATTAATCACTTTACCTAAAAATGTGTTAAACTACTTATTACTTCTACTAACATTAACACTATTGTTTACAGTTATTTTTGCCCTTAAGTTATAAACTACAAATGAACTGCTATAGTGTAAAGAAACAAAATAATTCTCTATGGTGCTATGCTACCAATCTGAAACACAACTAGGGCCATTTATTTCATTATGTTTTCAATATTTTAGGGGATATTTTCCCATTTTTATTTATTTACACTGCACATATGAAGAGGGAGGCAAGCTGCAGGGCAAGTGCAAGCCTCATGCCACCAGCTCAGAGATTCCTTAACTATACAGCCCTTCCCTTAACCCCAAAGGCCACACTGGAGGCCTTGCCTCTTTCTGCATTGCTCATTTTACCTCAAGCTCAGTCGCAGATTCCTCTTTCTTACCCACTTGGCAAGCACTGCTTCAGGGATTCTGTCCTCAGGTCTGTTTCCTTATTTGGGCAGCTCACGGCAGACAATGCCACCTTCACAGTGAGGGATACCTGACCTCATCATATTAGGAGTCCCAACATGTCCCTTGCCCTTACACACTTGCCCACCAGTGAGTGATCTCCAACAAGTACTTAACTCACATTTCAAATGGAAACTATCCTGCACTGAGCTCCTCCTGTACCCTTATCAAGCTGGCTCCTCCTTGCCTCCCAGGACTTTGCCTCTGTCCAGGCCTTAGCAGCTTCCAGCCTATGAGACTGCAATGGCTCTGGGAGGCTTCCCACTTCCAGTTCTGCCTCATTTTAAGTTTACTGTCCACATTGTTTCAATGGAACCACCTTCACTAACATCAAATCCCATAAGAACTTCATGAACATACTCCCCCTTAGTGAAAGAGTAAAATACATGCAAATAAAGCCCTGGACATCAGATTCATTCCAAGCATAATTACTGTTAGCAGCTAAGCTGCATCCCCTCAGGCTTACCCAGCTTCTTCCTAAGCTTGCTCTTTTTTCCCACAGTACACTGCACTGTATACAGACATACACACAACACCCTTATCAACATTAGCATCACTCTGAAACTTGCTTCATTCCTTAGTGTTCCATAGAGCTCTGTCCACATCAGTTTGCTTTTCATTTTAAGTGTGGGAATGGATGCCAGAGTAAGGACATACCATAGCACCTTCAGCTTTTTTTTTTTTTAATTGTTTGTATTTAATACAGGGTCCACAGGATCTCACTACATAGATCAGACTCATTGATTCTCCTGTTTGCAGCCTCCCAAGTGCTAGGA